CTGTCTGTCTGTCTGTCTGTCTGTCTGTCTGTCTGTCTGTCTCCTCTCTCTCTCTCTCTCTCTCTCTCTCTCTCTCTCTCTCCTCAATTCCCGCGAATGGGAAAACATAACCATATTCATATCCTCTGTAATTGCATGCCCACACTCTTAAGAAAGACAAATGAAAGTTGTAATGGTTAAGCTGTCATGCCAGACTTTAAGGAACGAAACGTAGGGCAAAACAGTCTAGTTACTTGCCCCCACCCACACGTTTACTCTCTTCTGACACTTACACCCCCCAGCATCCGGTGCCCATCTGGTTGCCAGTTGCCAGTGTAGGGCACTGAAACAATTCCTTTCCATAATGCAAAAGTTTCAACAGTCTTCACTGTTATGAACGAATTAGGAAATGAAACTAGCGGATTGAGTAGGGAGGAATGGACGGGACGAACAAAGAGATACAACTGCATGTTTCAATGTGATATCCACCTATTATGAGTGTCCACCAGTGAACATGCTCGTACGTGCATCCTTATTACTCGGTTTTGTAAGAGCCTGCACATGTCGGTACCTTAGAATTACTCAGTTTTATCTGGTATTTTTGGAAATTTTGAGTTATCTAGACCACGAAGTCAGAGACCAAATATTTTATCTGCTCTAGGTCTATCGAAATCGTAATATTTTTTAAAATCGTTCTCAAGATATTCAAAGAATTTATTCGAAAATACTTGACTTATGACTTATTATCTGAAACTAAACATTTTTAACGCATAACTTCTCAAAACTTCACAAAACTCTGCGCTGAACATTATAGAATGTGTAATTTTAGGGCAGCGATGTATCGTTTATATTTATTTTACCGTCACTGGTGTTCATTACAATGCTCCATCCATGAACAGCAATTTTCACACACACTACACGCACTTCATTGTAGTAGCAACTGTGTGATGTTTTCATGTTTTATGATTTCATTATAGTTATAATGTCTTGCTAACGCCCTGCTTTTTACTTTTGCGTATTTTACATGTACCATCTACACACAAGATGTACACAATTTTAATAAAGAACGGGAAAACAAGGATGAAAAAAACAAACAATAGAAAATACGAAGTATGAACTACTGCTTTATCAATGGTCTCTGAACTGAACTGATTGTTCAATGACCTAAAACAAAAATAGATGATCTGAAAACAATAAAAGTTCTTCTACAAAAATGGCTACTTTGCTTTTGTTTATTTTTCCTGACGTTATATATTCTGTGCGGGCGCATGTGTTTGAGTGTGTGTGTGTGTGTGTGTGTGTGTGTGTGTGTGTGTGTGTGTGTGTGTGTGTGTGTGA